TGGTTAAAAAAAAAAAAAAAAAAGAAAAAAAAAAAAAAAAAAAATTTTTTTTTATTTTTAAAATAAATAAAGATTTTTTAAAAAAAAAATTTAAAAAAAAAAAAAAAAAATTATTTTTTAATTTTTGGTACGAAGTACCTTTAAGCTCAAGTTCAACAAGTGGTACGTATACACCTTTGAACACCGTCGTCTCTCTTTACACAGTGCGTAAGTAGGTGTATACTGTCTACTGTAACTCCCTAACGACTAAAACCGATAAAAATGGTCAAAATCCATCACTTTTGAGGTATTTTACACCTTTTAGCCCTTTTCTCAGACTGTTCCTCCTCTTCCAATCCAACCTCCATTCCACATGGTAGCGCGATGGACATCCGGATGCAGCCGGACGATGCCCCCTTCGGCTTCTTGCCCACCAGGGCCACGGATCGATGGCCAGCAGAGGGCCCGTGGAGGGCCCACCAGCCCCTCGCCACCACCCTCTCCACAAACCCCTAATTGCTTCTTTCATTCCAGCCCCAAATTTTCGACGCTGGGGCCGCGGCGGCCCCTCGGGATTCTTGGTGTTTCCGGACGATTCATCGTAGGCGGTGTTTCTGGTCATGGTTTTCGGCTTTTCTTTTTTGTTTTTGTGCTTCTTTTTCTTCTTATCATTATAAGGTTTAGAAATGTTACACTTCAAAACGTGTTTTTATATCTAAAAAGCGTCGCGCGATGTAATTCTCAGAAATTGAAATTTTAGCTATGAAAAAGCCTACCAAATAACGTATCCTTTATGGTTATTTAGTCTGTTAAAAGCCTTTAGCCATTTTTCTGCACCTTTAAAATTAGCTAGATCTTGATCAGCGTTGTTTAAAAGTATAAATTTTCCATTCCAGACTTGGCCCCCTAGCGCGATGGCTTCCACATCCGCCTCCGCCGATCCGCCCGACTCGCTCTACACGCAGGAGAGGAACGGTGCCCGAGTGCCATGGTGGCAAAGGTTCGCTTATTTCCAAGCTTACACTTTTTGAGGGCTAGGGTTAGAATTCGGCTTTTTACGGCTCTTTCTGCGAGCCCGTTCCCAATTTCCTTCCCCGGCCCTCCGGAATCTACGGGGCCCGCATTCCGAGTAGATTGATGGTGGGCCCGCCAGCCCTGGGGGATGAATAGAAAAGTGGACATAAATTGATGCCCATTACTGCGTAGAAACCTCAGAATTGTTTTAGAAACCTGCTCCTCAACCAGCCGGTCCTTTTCGGCACCTGGGACGGCGTGTTCCCCACGGTGATGGTGAACATCTTCGGGATTATCGTCTTCTTGCGGATGGGCTGGATTGTGGTGAGGGAGTTTATAGAAAATTATTCGTTTTAAAATAATTTTTATTTTTGCTAAAAAATTTCTGAAAAGCTCAAAATTTTGACTGCGGCGCCCAGTGATTTTAAACAAGGATTGAAAACTATATTATTCTTCCAAACGCTCAAAATTTTGTAAGGGAGATGTCAGATAGTCCCCCTACGCTAACAGTTCTGTACCAAAATCTTTAGGGAACCGCTGGGGTCGCCAATGCTCTCCTCCTTCTAGCCATCGGCACCGCGCTTGCGCTGATAACCGTATTCTCGGCTATAGGTAATTTTCGTATCGAAATTTTCTAGGCCGAATCCCTAGGTATCTGCGAGCGGACCAGAATGCAACCGGGCGGGTTGTATTTCCTGATCTCGCACGTGCTAGGCGCGAAAATCGGCGGGGCCACGGCGCTGATCTACGTCTTCGGGCAGGTCGGGAAAAACGGAATCACCGGCAGAGACCATTTTTCAGGCAGTTGCGACCGGACTTGTGGCTGTTGGGTTCGGGGAATCGATGCAGCACTTTTTTGGCACCGACTCGAAAGCCGTGGTGAAGGTGATCGCGATCATTACGTTGATCGCGTTGACTGGTGAGTGCAATTATTACTATCTGCAGTAAATTTTCAAAATAATAACAATTAGCTGTAGATTAATCCACTCAATAAAACTTACAGCCGTCAACGCTGCCGGTGTCTCCTGGGTGGTTAGGCTTCAACTAATCCTGCTGGCCTGTATCGGGGCGGCCACCGTCGACTTTTTCATGGGCAGTCTGTGGACGGTAGATTCTGGTGGGTTCTAATTAAAACAACGATTCTAAACGACGACTTTAGAACACGGTGTTGGTCACTTCTCGCTCGACCGGATGCGCGCCAACTCGGATCCATTCTACGACGCGGTCAATTGCTCCGTTATTGGAATCGAGGTCAGCTGAATCCGTGTATTCAAAAAAAATTACTTTCAGAAAACCATCCCGGCCCAGAGCTTCTTCACCGTGTTCGGTGTGCTGTTCGCCAACTTCCTGGGGATCCTGGCGGGTATGTCCGATCCTGCTAACAATAAGCAATCAAACGATTTTCAGGCGTCAACATGTCCGGTGATTTGCGCGATCCACAAAAATCCATCCCACTCGGTGAACTCTCAGCCGTGGGCCTCTCCTCGTTCATCTGCTTCCTCTTCATCCTCGTCCTCGGTGAGTTCAGTCTTAATTTCAGTATAAAATTCACCAAAAAATTCCAGGCTCGGTTGTCGATCGCTGGTGGCTACTGTGTGACCATTTGATCTCAGAACGGGTATGTCTAAAATTAAGTGAAAAAAAAACTTGAAAAAAACTCAGGTCTCGCTGACCGGCTGGTTCTTCATGGGCGGCTTGTACATTTGCTCGCTTTCTTCAACCATCGGCTCACTCCTGGGAACCCCTAGAGTATTACAGGTTAGTATAATGAATTGTATTTTGAAACCCCAAAAATCTAGGGGATCGCAGCTGAAGGACTGATCCCTGCCCTGGCTCCACTTGCCCAAGGGGTAAATTTCAAGGTAGAACAAAACAATCGTGTCTAGACTGGTGCTAACAAAAACCCCGTTCTCGCCACTATAGTGCTAATGGGAATCGCTTGTCTTTTCGTACTTCTGGGTGACCTGAATCAGGTAGATCGAACTTTTAAAAGTAAATTACTATGAACAGCTTGCCATCTTGTCCACGATGCCCTTCATGATCACCTACGGAATGGTGAACTACGCTTATGTCTCCTTGGCGATGAGCTTTGACCTGGTCAGCGTCACGGAGGCCGTGTAAGGTCACGCTCAAAAACCTGAAAAATGATTTAGGGCCGCTCCCTCGTCGTATGGCTCAACGCAACAGATTGCGGGACGTTCTGACTTGGATGAGCTTTTCCCAGAAAGACAGCAGGCGAGTCGGCTAGTATAGTCTAACAGCCACAGGTCCCTGAGAAAAACGCACAATTTACAGATGAGCACAGCCGGCCAGGGTCTTGAGACCAGTGCCGACATTGTCTCGCAGCCGACTTCATGGTACTCCCAATTCAGCAACAGATACGTTGCGTTCATCGGAGTAAGTTGCCAAACAGCTCCCATAGCTTCTTCAGTGCATGATCAACTTCCTCATCCTCCTCTTCATCAACTTCTGGTTCGCCGTCGTTCATTTCGTGGCCCTGTTCCTGCTCTATTTCTACATTGGACAGGTCACACCGGCGTGCTTCCCTGGTAGGAAGTCCTAAAAAGCCCCCAATAATCAATGGCTTTAGGCATCTCACAATTCTCATTGGTCCACATGTTCAAGACGGCCTTCTCCTCGATCGAAAGCATTGGCGTATCGGGCGCAAGACAATTCATTGGATCGTCAGGTAACCTAACCTAACGTTCAACATCACAAAATTCCAGGCCCGACGCCCAGCGAATACTGCACCGAGCAGCTCAACGAACAAAGCAGTGATTATGAACAACGAAAACCGTATCATCATGCGAAAGACATGACCAATGAATTCGACTAATAGGCTACGAAAACTAGCGCATATCCTACAATTCACCCCTTTCCCTATCTGTGTACCGTTCGTGTTTCTGCCATATCGATGCCGGTTTATAGTCAAATGTTTGTATAGTTCAGAAATAAATTTCCAGTTTTATTCAAGCAAAACGCCGAAGAATCATGAACGTTTATTCAACAAAAGGTTGTAACAAAACAAAATATTTACTCCGGCTTAGATGTTGGACGGGTAGAGCAGCTGAAAGAAAAGAATTAGTTGAGGCTGCAGAAAAACGATAAAGATCTACGTTCAAAAGAAGGGAGCTTGATCCGAATTAAACCGGGCGATTTGAAAACGAATTTTGTGGACGGCTCCGCAAAAAAAGCATAAATCTCGGCACATTACTCTAGCTAATTTCTAAAAAGCGCAAGCCCGACATAAAAAAACAAACCACACGGATCCGCTTGCCCATTGCTGATGGGGGAAGGTTGTGGTGGAACTTGGCGCGGACGCTTCCGGCGTTTCCGTGCGATCGAGTCACTTTTCCCCAGATGGCGCGAACTCGGCTTCCCTAAACAAAAATTTTGCTAAATAACGAAATAATTACCTTGATTTGGTTTTGGGCCTTGTAGAAATAGACGGCGCGCTTGCCAATGTACCAGCTGGCATCTTCTTTCGAGTGCACTCCTTCCAAGTGCAGAAGTGCGGTATGCTCGTGTTGGTTTCGGAGCCCTCTCTTGTAGCCGGAGAAAACGGCTTTCACGTATAGCCTGAAAAACGGCGATGAATGGAGAAAAGAAACGCAAAAAACGCCAAAAACTACGGAAGAATCTCTCACCTTCCCGACGGCTTCTGGGTTTGCCTGGCCGAAGCGGTCTCTGCAGCCATTTTACCTGAAAAACAGCATCTTAGCAAGGGCAATAAGCTAGAATTCGCAAAAACAAAAAGAAGAGCTGTAAAAATCGGGCGTTGAAAAATTACAAAGGCTCTTTTTCGTTTTGGGCCAAAAATGCGGGGTTCGATCTGTCGGGCCTTCCCTCGGCTGAGCACGCATAGCGCCCGCTCGTCATCTGTATTGGCGCGTTGCGGATGCCGGAAAACGTTTGCCAAAGAGAAGTTTTCTTACTAAAAAAATCTTTCTTGCTCTGGAAAACAATTGTTTCAAACGTTTTCAATTAAAGATAAATTCTTTTCAGCAATGTATTTGCTCAAACGCCTGGTCCCAGTTACCGGCGTTGTAGCCGCCGCCCATTGTTATTCTGACGATTCGTCATCGAAGAGGTATTTTTGTTTTAGAATCTGTTAAGTTTATGATTTAGGAAGACTGACGCTTGGAGCGACCCGGCGCGCAATGGCGAGCGATCCGACACGGAATTCGGGATGGACATGTTCCCCCGAAAGAAGTGGGACTCGAACTGGGACCAGTGAGTTTTTTTGCTTACCTTGTTTACACGGTTTTAGGCGTGATCCTAAGTGGCTGATCGATTCGAAGGTGTTGAAGAGTGCTTCCGAGGAAAAGCAGAAAGAAATGATAGCTGAGGTATTTGTGGCTCTATAACTCTCAAAAAAAATATGTTAGCATAAGCCGACGGCCACCCGGAACATCATCCTGATTCGACACGGGCAATACAAGATGGATTCGAAGGACAAGTTTTTGACCGAGCTTGGTAGGGAAAATAAGGCGGTGGTTTACATTCATTTAGGGCGCGAACAAGCCGCCTTGTTGGGAGAACGGTTGGCTAACAGTGGGATAAAGGTATTGGGAACCTCAAATTTTGGAAAATTGTAAATTGTAGTTTACGACCCTCTACATGTCGACGATGAATCGAGCTACGGAGACCGCTGGGATCATCTTGGAAAAGGTGAATTCTAATTCGGGCGTTTTTTCACTGACTAGTTTAGCTTCCATCGGATTTGCCTCGGAAGAGCGATGCCCTGATCGAGGAAGGGCCACCCTACCCCCCAGAGCCCGCTGTTCCACACTGGGTCCCGGCCAAAAACGTGAGTACATTTTTGAAGTGCTTTTCGAACTTGAAAAATTAGCTTTTGAAGCTGCTTAGTTATGCCGTTGTAAAAATACGATATGTATTAACCTTTTTAATTTATTTTATTCAGGAGTTCTTCTCGGAGGGGCTTCGCATTGAGGCGGCTTTCCGCAAGTACTTCCATCGCGCACCACCACAGCAGAAAGAAGATTCTACCGAAGTGCTCGTGTGCCATGCCAATGTGATCCGTTACTTTGTTTGCAGGTTAGAGATGTCTTTCTTCAACTAAATCTATTTTAGGGCTCTCCAATTCCCGCCCGAGGGCTGGCTCCGAATGTCGTTGGGCAACTGCTCGATGACGTGGCTGATGATCCGCCCGAACGGACGCGTGGCTCTCCGCAGTCTCGGTGACATTGGCCACCTCCCCGCCGACAAGGTCACCTTCAGTTAAAAATATCATATACCACCATCATATTAATGACTCTAGCTATCTTAACCAAATTTTGCCCATGTAGCCTGTCGACCTATCGGGTTAATTGTGATTGATTAGACTTGTCAAGTGCATTTTTTGATCTCTGCTCTCGCGTTTACATAAATATTGGTCCAGAAAACGTTTATCGTACATTTCATGGCATTCCATAGTTGGGTGGGACTTCAGTTCGCAGGTTTTGGGCTGAAATTGAACGCAATAATCTCGACAGGTTTCTTACCAATCTCTCGCTGCTCCCTCAGCCATACGCGGAAATATTGGAAGAAGTCGAAGCCGAATGCGGCTACTTGTAATAAGCAGAGCCCGGATGCCACGGTCCATGTGAAGCTGTTCGTCCATGTTTTCGCATTGTAGCACATCCACATCGACACAAAATGGAGGATGGTCAACAACAACGCACCTAGGGATTCCTGTGGAGTCAAGAGGCTTTTAGAACTTTTTTACCGTCATGCTAAAGCTGATAGAACGGCATAGCGGGAAGACTATTTCCTCTAGCTCAAATATTAGGATTGCAGCTGCACATAGGTCGAGGAGGAAGGCGATCAAGACGGTGAACCACACTAGGAAGGAGCCCGGTGCTGATGGGGCGATGAGGAGGCATAGGGCCAGACAGAGGCTCAACAACTGAAATGGGGAAAATTATAGTGATGTTTAGGATTTGAGTTAGCAAAAGTCCGATCTTAATTTTTACTTTAAGATATTTATTTAGACGACTTACAAAAGTTATAGCTTTGAGGGCGTGTGGCAATTTGAGAAATTGTGAAATAAACAGCGCCATGTCGTGTTGTGTCTGGAAAATAAATTATACGAAAACTATCTCAAAAACGTCAGAACCAATACAGTAATACTATCCAATAAAGGCAAAGATGTAGAAAACGACACGTAGGAACGGAACGTAAATCCGAATAATACTCGTGTTTCAAGCGTTGCCTTATCTTCCCGGCCCAGGAATCGATAGAAGGCCCCCGGTTTGCCTATCAACCGTTCCAGGACATCGTCTCTAATGTTTGCATAACCCTTCTTTGACTATGTGAATTGCATAGATCTCTAAAGGTCCGAAAACCGCGAAATAATGAGGCCATTTCCAACACTTCTTACTACCTTAATCGCGTTGTTCGCAAGTCTTCACTTCTACTTGGCATGGATTTCACTAACTCGCGGCCCGTTCGTGACACGACAGGAGAGGATGGTTGGTTTTTGGTTACTTGCAAAAATAACTACTTTTTAGGAACTGTAGCCCCGACGGATGGGACGCTAACTTCCGGCATGATCGTCGCCATCCTCCTCGGCTGCCTTTTTCTTTGCGGCGTCGGCGTCGTGGCGCTCTACACGATATACCTCATCTGCAACAAGTCCAAGCCGCCCACGTCGCAGAAAAAGTGGGTTTTGCTTTCAGCTTGCAATATTGTTTTATTGCTGCAGGGAGATCGCCGTCGAAGAAGGGTTACCCGACCCGCCCAGCAAGCAGACGTCCGTCTCGAAGCCACTGTCCGCCAACAACACGGTGCCCGCCCCGCACGAGGACCTCCGACATCTGAAGGTCCAGAATCAGATCGACCCCAAGAAGTTGTCGCGGATTATCAAGTGGGCTTGTAACAAACGATGAACGTGTTGTTTAGAGCCGTCTACGAGCGCCGCACGGTGCCGTCGACGGAGACGAGCATCCTAAAAGATACGACAGGCGGGCGAAGGAAGCCCGAAATTGTCAAGGTCATCACTTACGCCACCGATGACCAGATCACCTACGTCGACCCGAAGACGATTGGTAGGCCGGCGATGCTGATACGTACACTTCCTGGCTTCAGATGATCATTTGACGGACGCGCCGCCTGAGCTCGACCTCGCCTCGCGGCTCCTCGTCCAAATTTTGCGCCACGGCCCTCGCTCTTTCACCTTCCGATGCGAGGATCTGTGCCAGTTATTGCAGATGGCTACTGACGTGTTCAAGGCGGAATCGTCTTTGGTTGAGGTGAGAAAAATACGGTGATTTCCTAAGATCTAAAGTTCTTCTAGGTGGCCGTCCCGTGCGTGATGTACGGCGACATTCATGGGCAGTACTCCGACCTGTTCCGCTGGTTCAACTTCAACGGCTGGCCGTACAAGACGCGGTACACCGAGAAGATGAAGCACAAAATAGCTCAACGTTTTCAGCTCTGTCTTCCTCGGCGACTTTGTCGATCGCGGCTCACACGGCGTCGAGGTGCTGGCCCTGATGGCGGCGCTGAAGGTCGTCTTCCCCACCGGTGTCTACATGGTGCGCGGCAACCACGAGGAGGAGATGCTCAACAAGACCTACTCGTTCTACGACGAGGTGATGACCAGGTTTGGAGGTGGGTAGATGAGAACGCCTGTATTTGACACCGATTTCGTCTAGAGTCTGGCGCGCCCGTCTACCAGGCCTTCAAGGAGCTGTTCGCCTGGATGCCGATGGCCGCCCTCGTCAACAAGCAGATTCTCGGGGTGCACGGCGGAATCTCGCCGAAGTTGAGGACGTTGGATGTAAGTTTTGAAAACCATGTGCTTTTAAAAATATAGAAATATTCGAATTTAAACAAAAAATAGATAAAACGAATTCTTAGGACATCATCGCCATTGAACGCCCTGTCGACGTGTTCACCGTCGGCTCGCTGGCCTGCGATCTGGTGTGGTCGGACCCGAACAATGCGAAGAATGCAAAAGGTATTTTACAAAAAATGGTTTTCCCCCGCGAAATTTTAAACGGAAAGCTAATTAGAAAGAGGAAAATCGTCTAAATTTATCGAAAATGGGTCATTTTGACGTGGAAAAATCTATATTCTTGTATTTTTAATGCAGTTTTCAAAGTTCTACCTTTGGGAATTTAAAAATAAGGCTTGTCCCCCTGATAATGCCAAAGAACCCGAAATAACAATCCAACCCCCTTCAGGCTTCCGCGCGAACCTCGACCGCGAGCCGGTCAACGGCATCGGCCAGCTGTTCGCCCCGGATGCCGTCCAGAAGACGTGCGCGAAGCTCGACATTGACCTCATCGTCCGCGGCCACCAGTCGCCGATCAACGGCTACAGCACGTTCGCCGACAAGAAGGTGCTCACCATCTTCAGCGCGCCGGGGTACCGCGGCACCGAGGTGGGCATGAAACCAATTTTTGCACCCCATAAATTTAGGCGGATAGCGTGAACATGGGGGCCTCGCTGGTCGTCGACGCTAATATGGAGATGACCATCAAACGAGTAAGTGATATTGTTTCTGTAGTTATTGTGGTTTTCTAGTCCTTTTGCAATATAGGGGATAAAATTAGCTATATTCGTATTTTTTGTAGATCCAAGTCTCGGCTAACTTCCGCAAGAAGCGCATCGAGGACGAAAAGCTCTACCAGAGCTCGATTCGCAAAAATAAGAGCACTTCCCAGGCGGTATTTTTTTTGTTTCAAACTCATCATTTTTCTTTTTTTTTTTTAGTCGGACACATCGAGAACCCTGAGCGTCGAGAGCCAACGATCAGCCCGTTAATCGAAGCAAACAATTCCTGGACTTTCTTTTTCCCCGAATAAAGATATTTTTCTATATTGTTTTTCTTGCCGTATTTTCTGTTTTATAAACAGCTCTTGTAGAAATGTTAACTTGAAAGTTTAAAAGTTTATTAATTACTGTGTCGGGTTGAAGATGAGCGTCCGCGACGTCAGCTGGACGTTCGTGTTCGGGGCGTTGCTCTTCTTCTCCTCGAGCACGTGCCAGCCGAACGGGAGACCCTGGGCCTGAAAGGAAGCGTTTTTTATCGGTTCTTTTGCATTATCAGGGGGGTTAACAAACGTCGTCAGTTCCAATTTTGCTAAAATAAATAATGCAAGTCTTTCGAATAAAAATACAAACATATTGATTTTTCGACCGAAATTGCGAATTTTCCAAATTTTTAAACGTTTTCAGCTGCTGTTTTTACTCGAAATATAGCTAGGAGTAAAAACACAAACTCTAAAACTACTTTTCGCTATTTATAGAATTCTATAAGAAGATCTACAGTATTAAAAACTTATCGTTTTTACTACGTATATATATAATAGATGGAAGTTTTGTGGGACAAAAACTCTAAATTACATCAGGAAGCTTCTTCAAATCGCCAGTGGTGAGCGTGCGCGACACCGAGCCGGATTCCTGGATTCCGGAAGAGCCCATCAGTGGGCTATCCTGAAATTATGGAAGTTTACCTAGGAAATGCAATGTTTGTAACTATTTTAAAACGATATAAAGTTTTTTGAAGAAATAAGGCGAGGAAACAAATTTTTCGTTGATTTTCCTTACCTGTTTCACAACCTTTTTCATCTTTGTTATCGAAACTTTTGGAAAAGCTGCAGCTTCCGATACGCTACTCATACAAATATTCCCTTGGCTTGGCTTGCTTTTTGCGGCTAGTTGAGCTTCGTTTTTTGGAGTGGGCTTGATTTTTGGCTTTTGAGCCGGTTTTGCTGCCGATTTGGGTGCGAATTTGCGGATTTTGGATTGTTTTTTGGGTTTGACCGGCCTTTGCTTTGGATTTGCAGTTTTATTTGAAGGAATAGGGCTCTGGAATTGGTTATAGAAAGTCAATAAAACGTGATAGGGACTTACCGGCTTGATAGAATCGCATTCTGGCATGCCCATCGTGCCGCAGACGGTGGTGCGGTAGTAGATGGAGCCGCCTTTCTGGAACGAACAAAAAATAAGCTGAAATTTAGCAATTTTAATCTCGGGTGTCCCAAAAAGACCCCCCAAAATTTGAGCCAGAGGGCACCTACGGAGCTGAAAATTTGCACAGAGGTAGCGAAGGCAATTTTCTATGAACAAGAAAAGTTTCAGCCCGATCGGCCAGCGGGTTTTAAAATTATAGCGAAAATACTTTTCATTTTTAATTTAATATGGGGATCTTTGAAATTTGCATCAAAGATATGCGTTATTCTTGTATTTACGAGCCGATTTTGCATAAATTTCGCTGAAAAGTGCCATTTTCTTGATGGAGCTTTGGAAAACGATTGCAAAAAATAAAAAATAAACAAAAAACAAAAAAAAAAATTCAAATTTTTAAAATTCATCTTTCCAAAATAAAATAAATAAATTTATAAAATTTAATCTTTTTCTTCTGCAATCGTTTTCCAAAAGCTCCATCAAGAAAATGGCACTTTTCAGCGAAATTTATGCAAAATCGGCTCGTAAATGCAAGAATAACGCATATCTTTGATGCAAATTTCAAAGATCCCCATATTAAATTAAAAATGAAAAGTATTTTCGCTATAATTTTAAAACCCGCTGGCCGATCGGGCTGAAACTTTCCTTGTTCATAGAAAATTGCCTTCGCTACCTCTGTGCAAATTTTCAGCTCCGTAGGTGCCCTCTGGCTCAAATTTTTGGGGGGGTCTTTTTTTTTGGGACACCCTGTAGTAAAACATCGTAATGGAGTGTAACCACTTTTGTAAAGTTTTTTATACATTCTGATCGCTAAAAATTTAGAAAAACTTGGAAAATAGGAAATTTCGGTCGATTTTCATCTTTTTTTGACAAAAGTCAAAATTTTTCGACCATTTTAACACTTTTGTTATAGCACAGAGCGCAAAACCACTATATTTCATACCTTAAAACACTGCGACAAAACATTGTCGTCAACATGCCGATCCCCGACGGCCATATCGTGGCCTTTCTCAGTTCGACAGCCTATATTTTGTAGTTTGTACTTATTAAACTCATTTAGCTGATGTTAAACGTTTTTTACATCAAATAGTTGATATTAATATCATCAAATATTATATTAATTCAAAGATACCTTCGATCGTGTACACGCCATACTTTCCACACTTGTATCGCAGATGGCCGGAAGCGAACTCCTCGTTCACTTCGTATTCTTTGCCGTTTTTCGTGCATTTCTGGAAAAAGTGCTAGGCTTAGGCTTAGCTTGGGTTTCCGCTGAGCATGGCTTAGGAGGCTCAGGATCAAGCCTGACTTAAGCTTGAACTTAACCTCAAGGTTCTAGAAGATCAAAACTCAAACCTTCGGCATCGTTTCCTCCAAAATCTTTCCCAGATCCTCATTTCCATGAAGCGTGATGGTTCGGGTCATACTGTCGCCGGTGACCACGGTAGCAAGGGCAAGAATTAGCAAACACCGCATCGCTGAAAATCAAGCGATTTAGAAAAATTGTCGATTTTTGGGGCTTGAAAAAATGGAAAAACGGTTTTCTCGGCGATAAATAGGGCTGCCTGTTTTTGAGTGTCAAGGCCGTTTCTCTCAATTTATTGTTGCCGCCCCGGGGGTGATGAAAGAAATAGGAAAGATGGAAATTAAAGGACACTTCAAGGATTCCAAGGTTTAGGCTTAACTTAAGCTTGGGCTTAGGCTTAGGCTTAGGTTTACGCTTAGGTTAGGCTTAGGCCTGGGATTGGGCTTCGGCTTAGGCTTCGGCTTAGTCTTACAAGGAGTGCTTTTTTTGAATCATCGTCAAAACCTTACGAGACCTAGCTCATTCGATAGAGAATTCGATTCTGAACAAAACCCCGTTGTTCTTTTTTGCAAAATGGCTATCTATGATTTTATAAAATTTGAAAACTGCACCCAAAAGCCCCTCTTTCTTGAAGCCCTCGAAAGGCACATAAGAGACGGTCACTAGTATTTTAATTTTATAAAATCAGGGATAGCCATTCTGCAAAAAAGAACAACGGGGTTTTGTTCAGAATCGAATTCTCTATCGAATGAGCTAGGTCTCGTAAGGTTTTGCCGATGACTCAAAAAAAGCACTCCTTGTTAGTCTTACAAGGAGTCGTTTTTGGGTGATATTGGACTTTTTGAACGAGACCTAGCTGGTTCGATAGAGAAAAAAATTCTGAACAAGATGTCGTTTTCCAAATCTGCTAACCGTGTACGCTGTTCAATAAAAATTAATTTGAAGATCGTTAATCTAACCATCATTTTCCATCTGATCCGCAGATTCTGCGCTTTGGGTGCGCGTCAACATAGCCCCCTTTAGGCCTCCCTCCAACCATGGCCAGCTGGCCTATTGGTAGTGCGCTTGCTTCATAAGTTTTTGTCTTTTTTTGCCAGCGGGTTCGACTCCTCGCTAGTAAAACTCTTTTGCTTTTTGCTCGATAATACCAAATTCGATTTGAATGGCATGGAAAACCAAAAAGCAAAACAATAAATTACAATAAGTTCCGAACCCTGGGCATGATTTTGCAAAAGTTTGATAGGCGCCGGCACTATCCACTAGGCCACGATCTCATGCTGATGCTGGTTCGCGCTGTGGACTATATCCCGGGCCTGATCCATGGGTCGCAGCCGGACGTCCAGGAATTTTTTCATTAAAATCAATTTTTCTTGAATATCATACACGGTTAGCAGATTTGGAAAACGGCATCTTGTTCAAAATTTTTTTCTCTATCGAACTAGCTAGGTCTCGTTCAAAAACCCCAATATCACCCAAAAACGACTCCTTGTTAGGCGTTGCTTTGGCTTTGGTTTTAGGCTTAGGGTTACGCTTGAGAACTGGAGTATTTTAAGGCGTGAAAAATCAAGCAAAATCCCAATGTCTACTCCTTTTATAGCCTCCGCCCATCGCCTGTTTACCATTTAGATTACAGCCAGATGCGAGCGCGCAACTTTTTATTCTTGTTGATTGTGTTGGGCGGAGAGTGTAAAGGGGGATTTTCGTGGATTCCTGAAATGTTTTTGGGCAGATTTTTTTATAAATAGGGATCTTCCGAGGCAGAAATTTGATGTAAACGGGTGGCAAGAGGTGGACATTTAGAAAGGTAAATTTCTGGTTCCTTTAAAAGGTATCGAAATTGAGAAAAAAGTTACCGTTGTTAGTTGTTGCGAAAAAATTATATCTAGCTCGCTCTAGCGTCTACTCTCTTTCACGCTAGCTCTCTCGCTGGCTCTCTCTCTCTATCTCTCTCTCTCTCTCTCTCTCTCTCTCTTCTGGCTCGATCTCGCTCTACCACTTTACTTCTCTTGCTCTCTGACTTCACTCTGCTTGCTTGAGCTTCTCTCTCTCTCTCTCGCTCTCTCTCTCTGCTCTCTCTTTCTCTCTCTTTCCTCCGCTACCTGAATACTCACCTATTGCCCGAGAAGCCTGACCGGAATTGTGTATTCATTCGGAATGGCCGGGGCAAAAGGGGGCGTGGCCTGGGGGCACCAAGTATCCGTCTGTGTGTGTATGTCTGTCTGTCTCCCTTCAGGGCCATAATCCACGCTCCGCCACCCCCTTCCATTCCGCGATGATGCGAGTTGACGGCCCGGAAAAATAATAGAACTCTACTATTTCAACGATTATTTCAACGAATTTTCTGCAAGATGTACCATCTGCTGTCGTTGCTCATCGCCTTCGGGCCGTTCGTGCAAGGCGCAACGGTTTTTCAAGGTTGGTTTTTTAGGTAAAAAAATATTATTTTTGTCACAAATTATATTCTTACCTGGTCTTGCTTGGCTTAGGCTCCGGTAGGCTTAGGCTTAGGTTTAGGCATTGGCTTACAAGGGAAGGTTGTTTGGGT